ATTGTCTGCAAATTTCACAAGTAGAGAAGTCAGGAAATTGGGATTTATTTGAAATTCAGTGGTGCACATACATCTTGCTGGCTGCCTACACACTGCGGTTCCCAAGAACACTCCTGTTCTTTGGTTCTTTCTGAAGCTTTTCTTTTACCGACATATCAAAGTTAAAAACTGTTCTTATGTGAGACAAGGAAAACCTTTATTTGCAACAGCTTTGCTACAGTTTTCAAGGATGTGTATATATAAAAATGGGATGGGCTTCTTAGCTGTTTCTTGTTTTGTGTTTATCCAGTGTAAAGACAGTTTCAAGGCTATTGTGCAGATGCCCCAACCTCTCTCTCTCCTCAGGTGCAGCAAAGAGCACAGGAGTGTATCAAAGCTCTCAATCTCATTCTTAAAATCAATTTAGGAGAGGAAGTAACAAATGTACTACATTCAGACTTTGACTGGAACAGCCTAAAGGTGAGTGAAAGGTGGCAACTGCATTTTGTTAAAACACTTAATAATGCTTCTGGTTTCCCCCTTCCATTTCTAAACTGGTTCCTATAAACTATTCTGAAGATCACACTGTAGATCTATGAACATATTCTCAGATCATCCCAAGCTGGATAGATAGCAGTGACGCTGAAATGATGCTCTTCTCACTTCCATAGAATCTATTTCCTAAGAAATTATTCCGTTTAAAAAAAAAAAGGTTGGGAAAGAAAATCTCTTACGGCACCTGGATTTTTTTGACAGGATTCTGTTGATACTAGCAGAATAGCTGTGATGGGACACTCTTTTGGTGGTGCTACAGTTATTGAGAGTCTCAGCAAAGAAATAAGATTCAGGTGAGTATTCAAAACAAGAGACATTTGGCACTTGAGAGCTCTGGAGCAGGGCACCTTCTCTAGGATCCCCCAGCTACTAATTAGCAACTGAAGGAAAGATTTGTTTGGTATGTCTTACTTTCTCCAGTCATGCTTCTTCCAGCTGTGGGGATGTGGTGGAACTTAATAGCCGTATCTTATTTTATCATGGTACTGTGGGACCCTGCAGTCCTGGCAGTGGAGACCAACAAATGCAAGAATGGACTAATTCTCTTCCCCCAGAGTAGAAATAATTTCAAAACAAAATGATTCATTAACCTGTTCAGTGTTGGAGAGAGTTTCTCTTTCCCATGTCTCTTGAAACTCAAAAGCATGCTGAGAACTTCCATAAAAAGCTTCCTGCTTCTGTGCCAATATCCAGTTGTTTTTGGCAGGTGTGGCATTGCCCTGGACGTGTGGATGCTTCCTGTAGGTGATGACATTTACCAGAACAGCGTCCAGCAACCACTGCTTTTTATCAACTCTGAAAAATTCCAGTGGGCTGATAACATCTTAAAGATCAAGAAGCTCATCTCCAACGACACAAACAAGAAAATGATCACTATCAAGTAAGTGTCCATGATCCATAATTTCTGTGGTTGAAGGTGAATTTTGACTTGGAGCTGTGCAGTTACTTGTAACTGCAGAAAGACAGTCACTAGAGCATAGTCCTGTGAGGAGCTGGGGGGCTCAGCCTGGAAAAAAGGAGGCTTGGGGGGAACTCTACCACTCTCTACAACTACCAGAAAGGAGAGTCTAGCCAGGTGGCGGTCAGTCTCTTCTCCAAGAAAAAACTGAGAGGACGAAAGGAAATGGCCTCAAGTTGTACCAGGGGTGGTTTAGACTGGATATTGGGAAAAATTTCTTCACTGAAAGGGTTGTGAGGCATTGGAACAGGCTGCCCAGGGAACTGGAGGAGCTGCCATCCCTGGTGGTATTTAAAACACATGCAGATGTGGCACTGAGGGACCTGGTGTATTGGTGGGATTGGCAGTGCTGGTTTAACAGTTGGACTTGATAATCTTAAAGGTCTTTTCCAGCATAAATGCTTCTATCATTCTGTGCTTCCTCACAGCCCAGGTTTTTACTGCACATTTAAATGAGCCATACCTCTCCAACAGTGGGGACAGAGACCTCTCAAAGTAGCCTGTAACCCCAAGTTTTGAGATACTCCAAGGTGTGCATTCCTGCCCTGGGGCACAAGTGTTGTTCTGAGCCTCATGCATCACCTGAAGACATTAAATAGCCTTCTGAGGGCAGTTCTGCACTCACCCACTGAAAGCAGTTCAGTGGATGGTTCTATCCTGCACGACAGACCGGAAAGACAACTTTTGTCTCGATGTTTTGCTAAGCCAAGTCTTTATTGCCATTGCAGCTCTAATGACTTATACTGAGCATGTACAAACCTTCCTCCTTTCTGTGGTTAGCTCAGAATTTCCTGCTAATCTTGCATGCTCCTGAGATGAACGTGTTTTATCTTCTGCTAAAGAAAACAGTGTAAGACATGTGACTGAAGTCTGTGCATATTTTAATCAGGTGATTTAATGTATTCTTATAAGCCTGTTGATCGTTTCTCTATTTGCAGGGGGTCAGTACATCAGAGCTTTCCTGACTTCACCTTTGTAAGCGGAGGAATTATAGCAAGATTTTTCAAATTAAAAGGAGAAATAGATCCAAATGAAGCTATTGATATCAGCAATCATGCTTCATTGGCCTTCTTGCAGAAACATCTAAGTAAGTATCTGTTTACAGAAAGGTATGAAGTTAGCTCATATTTAACTCCTGTGAGGCTTTTTATTCAGTTTAAAGCAAGATCAAAATAAGTGTCAGTGGAAAAAAGAAGTCAGACTGTTTCTAGAGGTTTGTCAGTTACTTTTGTAATCTTAGCAACTCGAGGAACATCACTGGCATTTTGCTCTGATACATAAAAATCTGGAGTATCATTTTTTCCTTCTTAAAATATGATGCCTCCCCTACTTTGCCAACTTGGTTTAATATTTCAGTGTAGATTTACAAAAAGCTGATTACTTAACTCATTACCACTTACGTTTTATTTCCCCCATTTTATAGGTCTTAAGAAAGATTTTGATAAGTGGGAGTCGCTTGTGGATGGCATAGGACCCAATGTTATTCCTGGAAGCAATATTGACACATCTCCTGCTGAACCTGAGTAAGGAATACAGAGAAGTACTGAAAATGCCACGGACATCAGGACACTAATGTTGGCCAGACATTGCTCAGACATGTGGTGGCATTAAACACCTACACAGCTTTTGGGGCATGGAATTAAAAAAAAAAAAAAATAAGGCATTAAGCTACATTACCATAAAACCAGAGGTTTTGGTTCACATGAGTTAGTAGGATAATAGTGAATGGCTAGTAGGATAATACTGAAATACTGCAACAGGGTAACTTCTGCTTTGTAGGCAGCCTGGGGGAAATTATTTCATGGTAATTTAAATACGCTTTCTGGTTTTGACTTAAGTCGAGTTTGTGGAAAGACAGATTAGGCTCCAAGGAATTCAACTACAGTTCTGCTTACCAAGCTTTAACTCAGTTTGCATCCAGCAAGCCTTTACTGCAGTGAAAGGAAAAAAACCAAAACACTCCCCGCCACCCAAACCACCACTTTGTCGTTTACATACTATTTCAGCTGTGCTCTGATAACAGCTGGGAGTTGGGGCACATTGTTGCTCCTAGTCAGAAAGATGCCAGTGGAGGGTGGTCTTCAAAGCTGCCTTATTGTAGTAAACCACGGGAAAGAGTTAAGATCACAGCAGAGAAAGGTGTTTGTTCAGACACAGGACTCCTCATATGAACTTAATTCACTTAAATATAAGATCTGTGTTTAGTGCCATACCTAGAGAATGTTTCTATTCCAAAAGCTTCTGACTTGGTCACTCTTGTTGTAGCAATTGTACTTCCCTTTGGGCAAAGCTCCAAGCAATTAATCTCTTGTTAATGTCTGTGTTACCACTATCACACAGTCAGCCTGCAGGTGAAATTACAGAGATGTGGCACCTGTACAGCTCCCTTTACATGGTCCTTGTTAGCAGTGCTTGATCTCCTGAGGTCCCTCATGGTACTGATCCTTTCCTGATATTCATCTGTGTCCAGGAACTCACAGTGCTGTTTGTAGTTGACAGCAGAAGCAACTGGCTCCCACTGACAGAGAGCAAAGGTAATACCTGGACGAACAGTGTCAGCAGCCACCTGGTCAGCCTTATTTAAGGCCATCATTTTTGAATCCTAAGTCTCTGAATCCACCCCATGGGAAGGGTGTCTTCTAAATTGTGTTCATTTCAAAATCAGGTTACAAACAAAACTGAAGCAAGCAGAACAAGCAAAGCAATTAACAGTGTAATTAAATATGTTGCATAATCTGTGATCTTATAATAAGATTGCAACAACACCTAAGACCTGTCCTTCAGAATTTAATCCTTTCCAACCTACCACCATGTATTGTCTTTATCAAGCAATTAAAGATGTGTTTGTCTTTACTGAGTCAGCAGTAACACCTGAGACCTACTGTGAGACACCCAGACTGACACTATCAGCCAGCCTGTGTTCCTAATCCATATGGCAGCATGAAAAATCCACAGCTTCTGAGGAGGAGGAAGAAGCAGCTATGCTATATAGGGGCGTGGAACACCACTATAAAATAAAAGCCCCTTTTTAACACCCGAGGAGGAGATTAAAAGGTGAGATCTCCTTTGAGCAGCAGCAGGTTGAGTCCTAACGCTGCTGTACCTGTGCAGCAGCAACACCACGCTATTGGGTCATCTTCATATTTATTGGAAAAGCTTCATCTTTCATTAGTGCAAGTGGAATAACTTCAATTACTTACGTGCAACTAATGTTTCTAATTATTCACCATAGCTCACAGTGCTCTAGAGCACTGGTTAAGGTCAAAACAGAACTAGGGACTGCAGAACTGCACCCACACAGCATTTGAGCTTATGCATAGGGAACAGACACGAGTAACAACACATTAACAAACCACTATATGTCAGCCAAAGCTTTATTCCAGCTTCTTCCATTGCTTTAGAACAGCACCAAACGCAACCCAAAACAACTTCTCCAATGGAGGAAAAAAAAAAAAACCAAAATTTCCTCCCCCCACCACACACCTGCAAAAATACCCTCAATATTTTCTTTTTTTTTGAGGAAAAAACCCCATGTAACAATATAACTTTTGCTTTCCAAAAACAAACATCAGCAAGCAGTGCCGTACAACAAAATAGCATATACAGAAACTCATAAGCCTTTTTTCAACAACCACCCACCTCAATACAAGAACTCAATACAAGTCAGTGCACCCACATGCAATAAAAAATGCCAGTCAAAGGCAAAATGTAAGTAAAGAAAATACAGTTATGAGAAACAAGATAACAATAACAGTCTACCAAGAACAGCTAAAAGAAAACAAGCTGACAATAAGTCTATCATCAACAATTCCTTGAGAGCGAAGTGCAGCAGTGACAGGCATTTGGTCAGTTAGGAGGAAAAAAAAAATACTCAATGCTTTGCTTGTATTCTTGTTCCCATGAACGTAGGAGTGTTTGGTACACAGGCACTTATTCAGTTTCGTGTGGTGAACGTGTCACTTGGTTTCAGCAATGCTGGAGGACATGAGTATCTTCAACTAAATCACAACTGCAGCCGGTTTGCTTTTCTACAGGGAGTAAACACAGATCAGACCCAACAAGATGTGTCTATAAATGTATATAAATGCATTATCATCCAAAGTCACAGCTCTGCAGGGCTTCAGACTAAATATTATCAACATATTGGACCATATTAGAAGACTATACTTATAAAAAGATGAAAGAGCAAACTGGCCCAAAAGTTATGAGCTGCCAGATTCCAGTTACGAGTTCAAGCCACTCCATCCCTCCTTGGGCTTGGCATCCACCACTGCAGGAGTTTTTGCATCCTGTGGATCAGGTACCTTTTACTTAAACTGCCTTTGCAGGCAGTGGCACACACGTGCAGCAAGATCCAGCTCTGTGCCATGTGGCTGCACCACCTTAGCTCACATCTCCCGTGCTGCTGCTGAGAGGGTGAACACACTAATTCCATGCAAAGTATTCAAGAACAATGGGCAAATCTGGACAATAATATTTAGCAACCAAATAAGGGAAAACAACTAAAATGAAGTGGTAAAAACTATAAAAAGTATTATCAAAACCACAAGCCTTATTTTTTTTTTCGCTTTACAGGCAACTGATCTCCATTGCAGGCTTCATTATTTGCTACCCATAAACCAATCTTTCGGTACAGTTGTATGAAATATAATTACCAATTCAATCCCTGAAAGCACAAATGCTATCTCTACTTAAACTCAGTTCAGTCTTCATCAGGCAACCACAGAAACAAGTTGGCCAGACAGGTTTTGGAGTCTTCATCCTTGGATGGATTCCAGACCTGTCAGTAAGGTTCTCAGCAACCTGATCTACTTGACCCTGCTTTCAGCAGCCCCAAAGCCCCCTTTCAACCAGAACTGCTCTACAATTCCATGGATTATAAAGGTAGTCTATAACCAAAAAGAACCTGTACTATTTATTTGGTACACTGATTAGGTGTTCACCAGTAACACATGAAAATTTTTAAGGAACAATAAAGATTTCCATGCACTATTCACAAACAACTAAGATGGTATTATTATGGGTTTAAGATGTATAGACCAAAGATCTAATAGGGGATTGGGGCACTCAAATCCCAAACTAAATGCTTGGTAGAGTCTGCCTAGCAGTCACTCACCCTGCCTCAGAAACACGAGCCAGAACAGCATGGTAATGGCAGATGCTCGAAACCCTACCAAAAATTACAGCTTGGGTGAACCATCCAAGAACCAGTTTTTCCAAGAGGCTCAATCCATCAGGTGTATAAATAATTATTAAACTGGTTTCCAATCCAGACAGAGTAGCAGCTCTCATTGCATGTAGTCACCCCTAAAATGACAGCACATAAGCTAATGCTACTAAGAAAATCCCAACGGTATCAAATACATAAATTCAAATTAGTGTTTTAACTGTACCTTCTAAAAGAAAGCATTTTCCAGAAAATTAGAAAGCATCTCAACACCAAACACACAACCCATTTGGGAGGTTTAAGGTAAACTTACCGTGAAGTAAGGGCTCCTCTGGTAAGGACTGCAAGTTCTCTGTTGCAGGGGTTAATGCCTATACAAAAAGGGATCCTCTTAGAAAGCTGGCACTATGGCTTTCCATTAGGGTGCTTCCTTTAATACTAGACTTTTTACATCAACACTACTAGACTCCCATTTTCCACTCTTCCCCCCCCCCCCTATAATTCACTATATTAGGTCTTCTGCCCAATTTTCACTTTGATTCAAAAACTTCATGTGAAGAATGAACTGGAAATTCATTCTGTTATCACCACAGCATGACTGATGACCTAAGCTTTGGGTCCTAGACACGAGTTTTTCATGGTAGGTACTTGATAAAGAACACTGGTGAAAGCCTTACTATTCTTTCCTAATTACTTCATAATAGAAGTGTTTTTCATGATTTACCAGTTAGTTAGCACCCTTTCTGAAAGCCAGTACTGTCCTACCCAGTCCACTACCACACTGCCATACCTCAGGTGATCTGCAAGCCGAGTCAGGAATACCATTCCAGACATTCTCAGGATCCACAATCTCCTCGTTGCCACTGGAGAGATTCAAGACCTGCGGAGCGGGAGCCAAAGTGTATCTAGCACAGCAGTAATACACTCAGCAAATAAGACACTGCAGCGGGAAAACACAATTGAGGACTCCCTGCCTTTAGAAGGTTTTGAGAACTCTGGATCTTGCAAGGAAGAGCAAGTTAATCTCTAAAAAACCTGAATATAACTACTGAATCTGCTCAAGGCCCTTCTGGACTTCTAAGCTAAGTATAGTGAGAAACAAAGGCTGGAAAATACCTACTAGACCAGAACCAGAAAGAAGCTGGTGAAATAATAATACATAATAGACACTGGCACTCATCTGAATACAGCTGAGGTTAGTTTCAGATACCCAAGGGATCTACTAGCAAATGAGCTGGCTTCCACAATCTCAGGCATTCAGTCTTCCGAAAGGTTGCTTTTCTGTAAAGATCTTCTGAATTTGCAACCTTAAATTATAACTTAAAGGCCATTTTATCCAAGTACAACATCTGTGATGTGTGTACATAGACACGCACGCCCCCTGAACTGAAGGAAGGCTTCTTATTCATCCCACAGCTTAAAGAGCAGTAGAACAAAGCTCACAAGGTTATTGCCTACTGTTAAAGTTAACTCACCACCCACTAATGCAGTACACATTTCACTGAAGCAGGAATAGTCTTGAATGCATTATTACTTACAATATAGTTCAAGTTTCTTCCTAAAGTTCTACTGTTCTAGCACTAATTACTCAAAACACCCGTAAAATAGGTTTCAGAAGCATTTAATGGTAAAACAGCTCCACAGCAGAACATTAACTCGCAGGCCAGATAGAACCACACATATGAGTGTGCATCTCAATCTGGAGCCACCTCCTTCAGTATTCCCAGTCAATATAAGGGAATAAGGTGCAAAGGGATAATCAAGTGTTGGCACGTAGCGTCCAACTCTTTTTGTGACACTCCTATTTCAATGTAGCCTACTATAAAGTGAAGATCGAAAACATTCAAAGTTTAGAGGAAGACTAAAGAAGGACCAGATCTTAAGAACGCAGAATGAGTATTCAAACCATACTTACCCTAGTACCTTTTTCAGATATCTCCAAAATGCGAGCCTCACACCACTGGAGAGAGGTCCACACTACACATTTGGAACCAACAGCAAAGCCCTTCAGATTACAAGGATAGTCAGGGTGTGCTACAAGAAATGATGGCATATCAATGAAGGAGGAAGAAAAAAAACGCCACAGAAAGACCACAAAAAAATCACCCCTCAAAAAACCTAAGGTGCCTCACAATAATGCTCCCCTGCCCCCCTCCAAACTACTTACTTGATATTGGAAAGTTAAAATCTGTCACCCTGAACAGCCTTGCAAATGCATTTCATTTTCAGAAATAGATTTCCAATCAAAAGCATTAATCTCTCCAGGTAAGATTAGATGCTGTTACACTGTCACGTTAAACATGAGGTACTACACTTAGTCTGCTGTCCTTAACCTATCAAAGCATACTGACATTAGCGCTAATACGTTATTAGGAAATAAAAATTAGGTTTCTACGAGAAAGCTATGTCTGAGTGGGCACAACATTTTGATTATTTCTCAAAATCCGGTAATTTACCTGCACTGCAGTCAGTCAAGTTCTCATTTTGCTTTTCTTCGTCTTCATCCTCAGACTTACAGCCTGAAGACTGCACATGCATATTTCCACACTCTTTAAATGAGTCAGTCAAGTCTTGTTCCATCCACTCTTCCATACAATCATCTTGCTGCTTCTGCCACCCCTTACGTTTCTTAACTTTGTAGTCACATGATTTTACAGGGAAAACAGGCCTCTGATCCACCGAGTCTTTTGTGAGAAATGAAAGTTGACTTCCACTATTTGCAGAACTCTGCAGCACAGCATGTTCCAACTCTAAAAAGTCCTCCTCCCTGCCTTCCTGAGAAGGTTGGACATCAGGCAGCACCAGTTCCAGAAAATGCCCCAACTTGGCACCTACCATTGACTGCTTGTCATGGGTCTTCAGATCCAGTTCTTTCTCAGGTCTATCAGCAGACGATGACAGCCTTAGGAGAGGAGGGTCTGCTTCCATCCACTCACCTAGTAGATCTTCTGCCTGATGAATCCCAGACAAATTCACTTTCAGTTTCTTTGGGTTCCCTCCCAAAAAAGGCTGAACATCAGGCGGAATTTGCTCTACTGACTTCTTTCCATCACTGACTGAAGGCACCAGGTTTTCTTTCTCATTAAGTAATGTTAAAATTTCAAGAAAGTTCAGAGCTGCCAACTCCCCTGTCTCCTCGCTACCAACTGGCAGCTCCAGCAATTCCTGTTCCAACACTGTCTCTCTCGCTTCACTGCCTGATGCTGTCTGCATTTCAAGTGACTTTGTGTCCAGGGCTTCCTTTGTTTCTTCACTGAAGGACTTGGCTGAAAGTGCCTCTAGATCCAGCAGGAACTCTTTTAGATCATCATACGAATAGTGCATTTCTAATGGATCCAGTTCCACTAACGTTCCATCTCTGGAAGACGGCTGTGCCTGGACCACTTGCAATTGCTGCAGCTCTTCTGGTTTGTTTCCTAGAAAGAGGCTGGCTGCTGAAGCACTGCCTGTCAGTTCTGCTTGCTGCTCAGCATCCTCTCCAAAGAGTACTTCAGACAGTTCTTGTTCTGAAGCTGTCATTTCACCCCCTGAAATATGAGGGCTGCAGCATCTCATTGGTTCTAGTAACACACTGTTACCACTATCGCCTTCAGACAGAGGTATCTCTTTATCAAAACTGTTCTGATGCTCTGGTGTTTCACAGTCATCATCAGTATTCCCACTGGCAGATCTCACTGACACATTTGCTTCTGCAGTTTCTAAGCACTCCGAAGTCATATCCAGGAAAGGATCAGAACGAAGCAAATCACTTCCTTTCTGAGCTAATCCGCAAACAGCAGTAGTTTCTCTTTCAAGACAAAGACCCATATCGCTGTTTGAACTTCTGTTTTCCTTTAAGAGGCTGTCAAGACTTGAAGAAGCGCTGTTACCAGTTCCTTTATTGGCCTTCCAAAAAGGCTTCATCGCTTCATTAATGCTATTGCCAGAAGCTTCCAGCTTGACAACACACAGAGGAACTTCAGAATCTTTATCTTTCCAAATTTCTACTACTTCAGCTTCTAATACAAGGTCTGCAGTCATATTATAAAACTTCTGATTTGCTTCACTAAGCCATGAGCCCTCTGAGGGACTGAAACCTGACAGACAGCAAGCAAATGCTTGACCAGGTACTCTGAGCAGTTCACGTGGAATCTGTCGGACCATCTCCAAGCCAACAGCTTCCTGGCTTCCATAATCTACATGTTGAACAACTACACTGTCACCTTTTACACTGCTGATTTGAGCTCTGTAGAACCATCCATCTTGACTGTATTTTGCTAGACAAGTATGACCACTTTTAATACAAGACATTCTGCCATCATTCAAAGAGCTCAGTCCAAGCTTTTCAGCTTCCTCTATTTTTTGGTCAATGTAGCTCAACTGTTCGGTATCAGCACTGTGACACCAGAAGTATTCTGGGCCATTTACCACCGTGACATAAATTTTTAAAGTCTGACCTGCCTCTGGAAACTTCCATATAAATGATTTACAATCACAGGAAATCTCATTTGGCGCCTGAGGAGACAAAGGCTCATGTGCAGTTATCATGTTCTCTCTTTTATCAGTTTTGTCAGATGAACAAGATCTCTCTGCACTTGCAAGATCATTAGGTAAATCCACTGTTATTATACCTTGATGGTCACTGAGAATAACTTCCCATTTATCCTCAACCTTCTCTACAAATTCACATGACAGCAGGATTTCACTTGTTCTCTTGGTGAAGTAAAGCACTGCTTTCTCCGCCCAGTCTGTATTTTTTTTGCATTTAAGTCCACCTAGGAAGCAGTGAATGCTTATTGCTGGAATAGATGACAAGGCCTCAGGGAGCCTGCGTGCTTGATGAACTCTAATTACTGAAGTATCACCATAATCAATATAATGTACCTTCATCGAATTGTCAGAAGTCTTCTCTTTTACTACAGCTCTATACCACAGGCTGTCTTCTGAATAAACAGCACTGATTAAGTCTCCTGCTTGGAAAAGTTCTCCACAAGGGTTCTTTGCTTGTGTCCCATTGTTTAAACTTTCCAAAATGCTGTTAAGCTGAACCTCATCACTCCCTAGTTGAACATAAAAATCCAGTGGATCATTGATAAAAGACACATACACTAACGTTTTAAGAGCTGGCACTATCTTCTGTTGTGGTAGGTCTGACACATTTTTAAGCATTACACACCTGTCCTCAGCACCAGATTTATTATCTGACAGTGCATCCATCTGGACAGAGAGCAGAGACGCCTTCCCTGCTTTATTTAACAAAATAGCATCCTTTTTACTGCTAAGCATTTCATCAGATTCTAGTAATCCAGCTGCCAGATCACCCTTGCTAGAGGGCTGGAAAAGGTTTACATCTTCTTCAAAGTGCCTTTTGCTCCCTTGTCCTCCCTGAGCTTCAGGTCCATATTTTTGTCTTTCAGGAGGCCTCCCCACATTTAAAGGGGACACTGCAGTGTCATTCACATCTGCATTTCTAGAGCACCGAGACTCACCTTCTACATGACTACACAGTCTTGTGTTGTTTAGGCTTAGCTCCTTCAGTTTGGTATTAATTTGAGTATTACTATCAAACAACTCAACCAGCAGTGTATTATCAGAGTCCTTTGCTACTACTATTGCTTTTAATCGCCTTTCAAGGACAGCTTCCTTAAACCATGTTGCAGCTTCTTTGGAAACAGAAGATACATCAGATATGGAACACTTTATGGCCTGCATTGGCACAAGCAGGATATCAGAAGCATCACTGGGTAAAGGAAGCAGATCATCTTTCTCTATGGTCTCTGTGTTCCCAAAATCCACAAAGAAGACTTTTGCCTTAGGTTGTGTTTCCATAATTACTCCCCTGTACCACTGACTGTCAGCATACTTTGCTAGGCACAAGCTCCCAGACTTTCTCAAGGTTCCCGTGCTGGTCATTGTTTCACTCAGGCGACTGATGTTATCAGCCAACTGTGCTAAGGTATCTGCACATCTTTCAAGCTGGCAGTAAAACGTCCATGGATCCTCAACGTGTGTAATATAAACTTCTTCCTCGCTCCCAATTTTGATACCATGACTAGAATAATAGTAAGAATGAAGCTGAACCAAGGATGCCAGATGCTTTTGAGGAAATAAAGGTCTGGCTACACCTCTCTCGGTCAGAAATTGGCAAGCACTCTGAAAAGGTGTGATTAAATCTACAATGTTAAACAGGTCCCTATTTATTGAAGCCAAGGCAAATATTGTACACTTTAGTTCCATTTCAGATGATGAATTAACAACAAACTGCTGAAAAGTATTAATCGCTGCTTCTTCCCAAGTGAATGGATTCTCCCCATTGGGTTGGATTAAGTTGTAAAGGCTGCACCTGAAAGCCTGAGCCTCCAACCTAAGGAAGCGCTCATGAACTGCACGGAGGTTTGACAGGCACACCTGCTCTCTGTTGCCATAGTCAACATAGACGACTTCTACTTTTTCTGCACAAAGGGCTCCACTAACAATTAAAGCCCTGTACCATTTCTTATCCTCTGAGTACTGGGCTAAACACACAAGATTTGGCCAAACATGTGGCTGGGATGAATTCTTACAGTGCTCCTGAATTTCATCCATTAGTAACTCAAGGTCACGGCTATTTCTGCTCAACTGACACCAGAAAAAACCAGGATTTTCAACATATGACAAAATAACACTAACGGTACTTCCCACTTCTAAGTGGCCTCCACAAGAATAACCTGGCTTAATTTCCACATAATTCTGTCTCCAAGACATGTGCAGGTTTCCCTTGCCCTTATATTCCTGAACAGGAAGAGATTCGCTACTTTTAGAACTGTGAATGGCTGCAACAGGGCTCTCTCTGAGCCTCTTCTCTGCATTTATTTGTTTTTCCTCAGCACTACTTGCTAGGAAAGAGGCCTGTGCCACAGCCTTTTCATCTGAATTCTGGAGAGTCTTGGGTATTTCACACCTCTGGTATTCACCATAACCTCCCTGGGCCATGAGTTTACTTACTCTTTTCTCTCCTAACTGGGTCTGGTCAAAAATTTCAACCATGTATTTGTCACCCTTCAAACTCAAAAAACAAACCTTCAGTGCCTTGTTCAGCACCATCTCCCTGAATGCAGACACAGAAGCTTCACTCCAACTCCCTCTCAGAGGGGAGACACCTGCCAAACAACACTTCAGAGCTAGAGCAGGCAGTTCCCTGAACCGAGAGAGCAGCTCCTTCACCGCACACCGATCCACGGTTTCCGTACTGCCCCTGTCCACCAGGTGTATTTCCACCCCACTGTCCAGCACCCTGGTGACCATCGCTCGATAAAAGCCACCCTCGTTCCCACTGGCACAACAAAGGGATCCAGGGCGTGGGTCCCACTCAGCACCATCCAGCTTTGTAGCATGGGAGTAGAAATTCCACATGCACTGCCTCAGCTGCCTGAAGAGCTGCTGATGCTCATGGACCTGCAGCCAGAACTCAGATGGATCTCGGAGGTAGGAGACCTGTGCACTGTAGAACACACAGGTCTTCAGCTGTACACCAGGTACAGCAGCAGAGCCCAAATCTCTGTGTGTTAAAACAGGAAGTGCTTCTGATGGCAATTCCAATTCTCCAGCTGAGGATTCTTCTACTTCCAGATGCTCACGAGCCTCAGTTTGGCTAACCTGCTTACAACTGCTGACCAGGCAGCAAGCCTGAGACCTGAAAAGATGGTTCAAGTTGATGCTGTTTTCCCCATACAGGGTCACATAATAGAGATGCTCAAAGGAGTTAAAGGTGTTGATGTGAGCACTCACTCCTCTGCCTTGCACCAGCGCTTTCAGCATATCGATCTGCGACGAGGACCATCCACAGCCCCCATCCGAAACACCCTGAAGAGCACACACATAAGTCACCACAGGCATCCGAAAACACTCGGCAGGCAAATGGCGCAGGTTAGCTCTGGTGACAGTCTCCTTCCTGCCATAGTCCACAAAGATCACGAGAGCTGCCTGCTGGTCCTGCTCCCCTGCAATGAGCTCCAGCAGAAGGCCACGGTACCACTGGCCATCCATGCCACGGGCTGCACAGGGTGAGCCCACTTTGGGCAATAAATCCTGCTCCCACTGGTCATAAACATGGCACATGGTATCAGAAAGGCAACGGATCTCCTGGGACAGGCATTGCAACTGACAGTAGATGTGGTGTGGGTCGGAGACATGGGTCACTAGGACAGGCTCTGTCACACCCAGCTGAAGCTGTGGGTAGAAGTAATCCAAGGCAGGTGACACGGGCCAATCTGAGAACAGCACGTGGAGGAGCTGAGGCACTGCAAAAGCTCCAAGGGAACACATCGAGGGCTGCTGCTGCTGCCAGAGCTGCTTCTTTAGGTGGCCAAAAGGCAGGCAGCGCCTGAGCACCTGGCAGAACCAGACAGGAGAGACCTGCCTGGCCAAGCCCAGCTGCCGCATCTGGGCCACAAGCTGAGGCAGCTCAAGCACGATGAGCTGCGGGGACATCACCTCCTGCACCACACCAGACACCTCCTTGTTGTGCAGGAAGCTGAGGAACTCCATCGCCTCCACCGTCCACTTGGAGACCGGCGAGTCCCCGCAGCCCGGGCCCTCGGGGGCTTGGGAGGGCATGACATTGGCCACGACACAGCCCAGCACCTCCGGGGGCAACTGGAACAGCTCCGGGCAGCCCCGTGCCAGGTAATAGGCGGACGTGACCACTACGGACCCCTCGTCCAGCAGGAACACGCGGTACCCCTGGGCGCTGCAACTCACCACGCAGCAGCGGTACCAGAGCCCCAGCACCTCCACGAGTCCCACCTCACCAGGGCACAGCCCGGCCCCTCCGTCTGCCTGCCCGCCGGGCCCGGGGCGGGCCGCCAGGCGCGGCCCCGCCGCCGCCTGCACCTCGCGGTCGAGGCGGGCGTAGTCTGCCTTGCGCTCGCCCAGCAGCCCCCAGAGCCTCAGGACGGGCACGTCGGGGCGCAGCCCCACGGCGCGGACGCGCAGGGTGACGGCGTCGCCGCGGCCGAGCGGCCCCGGCCCGGCGCTCATGGCGGGCCTGCGAGCACCCACCGCGCCCACGAGGCAAACGACCCGCCCTCCTTCCCGGGCCCCGGCCTTATATGGGGCACGCGCTGTCCACGTGACCCGCGGCCGGCCGTTGAGCGGCTGCCCCGGCGGTCGAGCCCATTTCGATCCTCGCGGGGGGGGGGGGGGGGGAAGGAGGGGTGGAGAGCGCTAGTACAGGGGGGCCGCTCCCGCTCAACCGCGACTGCCCAGAAGGGCCACAAAGAGGAGAGTTATTATGGGGTTATCGCCCTGGCGCCGCGGGGCGCAGCGCTGAGACCGCGGGAGCTGCTCCAAGACGGCGTGAAGCGGTCCGCGTCGGCCGGGTGGCAGCGGGGCGGGAGGGGCGGGGTGAGGGGAGAAGGAGCCGAGGCTGCTCAGCTCCCATTGGCCAGAGAGGCGCCGGAGGCGGGACATGAGGCAGGGCTTGGCTGCTATTGGCCAGCGCGGGCGGTGTGAGGGTGGGGCGGGGCGGTGGGGCGGTGGCTGCAGTGTGAGGGAGGGGATGTGT